ATGCTTTTCCAAGTGATTTGTCGTTATTCGATCACGTTCGAAAAAATCGTTCACCAACCGCTAATCCATACCAATGCCCCAGTGACATGACTATCATCATCATCCGTACTTATATCAACTCATGATATCTTTCGGAAGCATCCGATATGCCTACGGTGCAATATATTTGCCCAAATTATATTGCTTCTGTGGGCTACCCTTTTCGATAATTCATTTACCGATTAAATGAATCATCTGGACAATTCATATATATACTTTATTTTAAATGCATGACTGAATAAAGGAAGCAATTTATATATATGAATTGAAGAACTCTTTCTTCTATTATTTCTTCTATTATTTATGATATATATAGATACAAGACAAAAAGCTCTGAAACCAACAACACGAATGGTTTTAGGGCATACACGAATGGTTTCTATGGCATACACTAATATACACTAACATCACTTAATGTTTTTTTTTTTTTTTGAAAGTTACTATATATACAATTGGTAATATATTTATACACACTAAAAAAATTTAGTGACTATTAATCAGGGGCAGAACCAAGATTTCAATATTGGAAAGGTAAATTCCTCGTAGTATTAGTTTAAGTTCAAAGCAAAAGATATTTAACAAAAGAATTTGACAAACCACGACATGAGAGAAAATTTAATTAAAATAAAAACCCTAACAAAAGCTTAATACAAAGGAAATTAAAAGAAAAAAAAATGAAATACAATAAATGTCAAGTAAAAAAAATTTGGAAACACCCTAACCTAGAGGTCGCAATGGGTCGTGCTGGCCCACGGCATGGCATGAAAATTTTGTGCCATGCCGTGGACCCCGGGTTTTGTACCATAAAAAATAAATAAATAAAAAAACAATATTTGTAAGCCGGGGCTTTTGGCACGTGGGCTGGCCCAACATGGCACAGCCCACGTGTCATAAGAAAATAAAAAAATATATATATTATAAAAAAATTTGCTTTGTAGCTGTTGCAATGTTGTCATTGGTCTAATATATATTATAAAAAGTTTATTTTTCCATGCATAGCGTAGGTTTCTTTTATTTTGTAGGTTTAATTTTATCATGTAACCACAGTATTCTTCCACCATAATTGAAGCATTAATAAAATTTTAGAGGTATTGTCCTCGTTTTTTATAAAATATAATTAAAAAAAACAAATTTTTTAAATATTTTGAGAAGGCATATGGGCAGACCCACGAAAGCACAGCATGGTACAACACAGTGGGCCTTGAGTTTCAAAAATGTGGCATGGCACAGCCCACATTTTTGTGGGCTGTGGCACGGCATGGCTCATGGCACTGTGGGCCATGAAAATTTCGACATGGTTCATGGCCAACCGTCACCTCTACCCTAACCTTAAATAATTTTACTGTTATTTTTTTATATTGAACAACTTTGTAGAAGTATCACCACAGTAACTATATTTGTGAATGAGAAAAAGAAACAAATTAAAAGATTAAAAAAAGAAATCCTAAAACTCTTTTGCGATTGACATCTAGATTAAATAAAAATGGATGAAGTATTTATATAGTACAAAATTGAGTTAAAATGGAAAGAAATCATAATTTAATTAAAAAAAAGATCATGCAATCATTATTTAATTAGGAAAAGACAAATTATAGAATTATTATCATCAAGAGTAATGTTATTGAAGCCCCCACAAAACTCTTTGTAAGGCCCATAAAAATAAATTTTATTAAATAAAATTAGGGTTTATTTCATTTACACTATTTTGACATTGATTAGTATCCAACTCTACTTTGTTGTTGTGCTAATCTCTCCCAAGTATTAGTCGAGGTATGCATAAATTGGCCAAGATACCTTAGTTGAAAAAAAAAAAAAAAAAAAAAAAAAAAAAGAACTCATCTGCTTCATTCAGAAAATATTAAAAACACCTTTATCATTAGTGATATGTTAGATTCCATTTATTTTTTAAATTCAAAAGTTTGTTTTACACCTCCATCACTTACTAACTTGAAACAATTTCTCATATCCTTTACTCAAACATCCAAATCCGCAAAATCAACCTTAAACTTATAATTATTTTTTTGCAAGGTCACACATTTACATAACAAATCTAATCAAACATTTAATAAAAAGATTTCAAAAATTTCAAATTAAAAAATGAATTTGGTTAAGATAAATGAATTTAATAAAATATGTAAAGATAATTGTTTATTTAAAACAAAATTTTGAAGTTAGATGTTTTGAAATTTATATTATGAGATAAACAAAGGCTGGAAAATTATAATCTACCTTAAAATAATTATGATTAAGATAAAATCAAAATAACCGTTGGTATAAGTCTTTTCTTCCAAAATAATTAAAATAATATTTATAAATGAATAATAAATTATGTGGAGTGGAAACTATTCTAGCATTTCAACAATTTTTTTGAATGGTTTATAAAAAATAATGAGGAATAAAAAAGAAATTGTTTAAAGTTGAAAAGTGATAGGAGGGGTGAAACCAACTTTTAAATTTAAAATTGGATGGAACCTTAACATATAACTAACGAGAGGGGTGTTTTTAATACTTTCTGAATGAAGCATATGAGTTTATACTAATGGATCTCACAAAAGTGTAAATAAAATAAACCCAATAAAATTATACGCTTATTTATACTCCAAAAATAGCCTTTGTTTCCTTTATGATCTAACCTAGTAGCCCTACTACCATCTTCATATAATACTAATCTAATACAAACAAAACTTTCCCAAGGTCAGTGAAGTTGCAAATTAACCCAAATCCAGGAGCATTTAGCTATCAAGGCTTGACCCAAAGGTCCATTTTTTTTTTTAGCTAATAATTGGAGCGAAGAAAAGCTCTTGGTTTTCTATTAAATATTCATTGATGTTGGAAAGAAGATAATAGAAAGTATCATCGAAACATGGGAGTTGATTATGTATACTATCAAATTAACTAGCATATTTCAATATATAACAATCAATAGTTTTATAAACTCTTTGTATTCTTATACTACTAAGTCAATCTTCTTATGGCTTGATAAAGTTTTATGATTGTTGGTGCCTTATAAAAACTATACGTTTTCTATGTTTAATTTATTTTCTTGAATAATAATATTTTTTTCCCTTATCAAGGCATGTTGCATTTGTTTATAAATGTATACAAATATAAAAAAGGAGAAGAAAATAAGAGTACTCTTGGAATATTAGTAGATATGTAATTTTATTTAATAAATTTATTATTATGGGTCCCGAAAAAGAGTTTGAATGAGGTTCAATAACAACACTCTATCATTAATATGATATAATGAAACTAGAATATATTAATCAATAAATTCAGAGCTCAAAAAAGTTAGACGTGTCATATAAAATAATATGACTATTATACCCATAGATGCGTAAAGTTATTCTAAAAACTTTCAAGGCTAAAATTGATACGTTATTGTCTTAGTTTTCTTTGGTTTATAGCAGGGTGAAACCAGAAATTGTTTTTTCGGGAGGGCTAACAAAATTTCAAGAGAAATGAGCACAATGGTTCAAAATGTATAATATATTTTAAAAAGGAAGAGAAATGGTGACAATAGTCATATGATAAACTGAATTTAGTATAATTTTGTTGAAAATAAAATGAAAGTTGTTTTTAATTTAAGAACTTTAGAAAATAAAAGAAGAAGAGTGTGACAACTATTGGAATTTAATTTAAATTCAAACTCTGTTTTTATTTTCAGCACTCTGTTTTTATTTTTTGCTGAGTCAAAGTTGAATAAGTTGCTGAGTCATAGTTGAACAAGTCTGTAACTATGCTGCAGATTATTAGGAAGTTGTTTCTGCATTTTCGTAAGTTATGGAGTAGTGCCATATAGATAGGAGTTTTTTAAGTTTTTGTTGATGTTCTGTTGAGTCTATAATCACATATAAGTAGGTGAGTTTCTGCTATATATTTTATCAGTTAAAACTATCAAAAATTCTCTCTTTTCTCTAAATTATTATTTCTGCACTATTTTTTATCCTGTTTTTGGAAGTTGAAAGCTCAAACTTTTTAATTTCCTACAATCAGAGCCAGCTGATCCAAGTTTCTTGTTGTTCTAAGTTGTGCTTCTTAGATTTCTTGTAAGCAGGTTACAACAATGAATGGATCAATTCNAAAAAACTAAAATTCAAACTTTTAAGGGCATTTTAGTCTTTTCACTATTAATAAACAGTAATAAACAGAAATCACTAACAGAACATGACGGAAAGTACCTATTTGTCATTTCAAAACCTTTTGGGTACCAACTTGTCGTTACGATAAATCTTGGGTATGTGTAAGTCGTTCTCCCTTTAATTTAAATTCAAACTCTGTTTTTATTTTCAGCACTCTGTTTTTGTTTTTTGCTAAGTCAAAGTTGAATAAGTTGCTGAGTCATAGTTGAACAAGTCTGTAACTATGCTGCAGATTATTAGGAAGTTGTTTCTGCATTTTCGTAAGTTATGGAGTAGTGCCATATAGATAGGAGTTTTTTAAGTTTTTGTTGATGTTCTGTTGAGTCTATAATCACATATAAATAGGTGAGTTTCTGCTATTTATTTTATCAGTTAAAACTATCAAAAATTCTCTCTCTTCTCTAAATTATTATTTCTGTACTATTTTTTATCCCCTTTTTGGAAGTTAAAAGCTCAAACTTTTTAATTTCCTACAATCAGAGCCAGCTGATCCAAGTTTCTTGTTGTTCTAAGTTGTGTTTCTTAGATTGCTTGTAAGCAGGTTACAACAATGAATGGATCAATTCAACCTCAACTTCCGAGGTTTAGCGGAAAAAAATTTGATCAATGGTGCATCCAGATGAAGGCGTTGTTTGGCTTTCAGGAGTTGTCTGAGATTATTGAGCTTGGATACGTTGAGCTAGTAGATTAAGATGCAATTGCAACTCTAACTCAAGCCCAAAAAGAAAGTTTGAGAGAAATAGAAAGGACAAGAAGGCCTTATTTTTTCTCTACCAAGCTGTGGACGAGGTTGCCTTTGAAAAAATCTCGATTGCAACTATGGCTAAGGAGGCGTGGGATTTGTTGCATAAGTCCTTCAAGGGCGATGAGAAGGTGAAAAGTGTAAGGTTGCAAACTTTACCAAGAGAATTTGAATTTCTTTCTATGAATGTTTCTGAAACTATATCTGAATATTTTTCCTAAGTTCAATCTGTTGTCAATCAATTACAGGCTAACGGTGAAAGATTGGATGAATTACGTGTTATTGAAAACATCATGAGGTCCTTAATAGGATGTTTTGATTATGTTGTTGCTACAATTGAAGAAGGAAGGGATCTTTCAACCATGACAATGGAAGGATTGATGGGTTCATTATGTTCCCATGAACATAGAATGAATCAGAGGACTGCAACATCTGTTGAGCAACCCTTTCAAAGCAAGGTGATTTTGTCCGAAACATGTAGTTTCAGCGGTGGAAAAGTATCAGGTCAAGGTAAAGCAAAAGGCTTCAAAGGTGACAAAAGCATAGCAAATGATCAGCAAAATTCTGGAAAAGGAAGGTATGATATGTGGACATTATTGATCACATTGTAGAGTTAAATTGTCAAAAAAAACTCCTGAACATGAAAACTATGCTAACTATGCTGAAGATGAGGAACAAAAGGAAGAAACTTTGTTGTTAGCTTGCAGTGTTTCCGAAGAAGAACATCTTGACAAGTGGTATTTGGACACTGAGTCCAGCAACCACATGTGTGGAAATAAGGAGCTATTTTCCTATTTAGACGAGTCGGCACGTGGTGAAGTAAACTTTGGAAACAAGGCTAAAGGTCCAATCATGGGCAAAGGTAAAGTTCTTATACACTTGAAAGATGGTTCTCATGAACATATCTCTGATGTTTTTCATGTTCCTAACTTACATTGGAATTTATTGAGTATGGGACAACTCTCCGAAAAGGGACTTAAAATCATCATTGACAAAGGGATTTGTACTATTGAGAACCATTAAAAAAAAAAAAACTTGTTGCTAAGGTTAAGATGACTAAAATCGCATGCCTCCCTTACCTTTACAAACTAAAATGATTTGTTCATTTAGTGCTATTGTTATGGATACAAATTGGCTTTGGCATTTTCGTTTTGGTCATCTGAACTTTAATGGTTAAAGGGTAGTGGCAAGGGAAAAAATGGTTAATGGGCTACCTTTGTTGGAAAATTTTAACCAATTATGTGAAGGTTGTATCCTTGGCAAGCAACTTAGAGATTCTTTTCCAGTGGGAAAGTCACGAAGAGTAGTGAAGCAGTTAGAGGTTGCACATTCAAATATTTGCAGACTTGTGGAGACTGTATCACATGGAGGCAATAGGTATTTTCTTACTTTCATTGATGATTATAGCAGGAAAACTTGGGTTTCTTTTTTAAGCATAGGTCTAAAATCTTTGAAATATTCAAAGACTTAAGGCCTATGTAGAGAAACAAAGTGGTTGCAATTTGAAGATGCTACGTACAGATAGAGGAGGAGAGTACACCTCTAATGAATTTTCTGATTTTTGCAAAAATCATGGAATTAAACATTGTTATGCAGTAGAAACATAAACTCTAACGCTAGCTATTTAAATATAATAATCACAACTACTAAAGCAGAAATAAATGGCCAAAATAAATAATACCAAGAATTAACAAGGTTCGGTATTATAACCTACGTCATCGGGCATTGCAAAAGAAAGCTCCACTATCTCTAAAGAATATTACAACTTTTTGGACAATACTACAAATACCCAAACTATAGGGTATAAAAAAATTACCCAAAACAAATGGGAGATACAACAAAACTTCTCAACTAAGGCGTCCTTAATAAAAGAACCCTATACAAGAGGGATGTAATGGAAATACAATTTGGGATACTTATAACTATGGCTTGGGTCCTTAAATATAGGCCCCAAAAGTTCCCTCACTTTCATTCCTAAGCAATGTGGGACATACTAACTTTTGGCCTATTTTTGTAGGTCCCTAAACCTTTCTCCATTTTCACTCCTACCCCATATGAGATTTTGCTAATGAGCCATTTTTTCAACAAATCTCCACCTTGGCAAATTAGCAAACCTTCAAAGTTTTGTATTCTTCTGACAAATTTTGCAACACCTTTAAATGTGCCAAATGGTACAGTCAAACTCGCAAGTTGTTGATCAAGCTCAAACAATAAGTGAACTTGACCCTTGTCACTACCGTAGTCAACATATCTGTAGGATTATCTTCTATTCCAATCTTCTGGAGAATCATTTTCCCATTTTCAATATAATCCCGCACAAAAACCAAACCAATATCTACAGTACCTAAAATATATCTTAGAAACCATTTCACAACTTGTCAATGTCCTTTACCAGGATCATGCATATGCCTACTCACCATACTAATTGCTTGTGAAATATCAGGCCTTGTGTCCCCATGGCCCATCATACATTGATCAAATCGCTTGTGCCACTGTCTTGGTGACTGCTTCAAACTATATAGCGATTTCCTCAATCTGTAAACCCAATTTTCCTTTCCAGTAACCCTATAATCATCTGGCCGATCTTGTAGATTTCCTCTTCCAAACTACCATGTGAAACCACGATTTTCACATCCAACTAAACTAGTTCAAAATCAAACTGTGCCACCAAGGTTAGCAAAATCAGAATGGAAGAATACTTCACTACTGGAGAAAACACTTCACTGTAATCAAAACCTTCCATTTGAGTGTATCCCTTTACTACCAACCTAACCTTGTGTTGAACATCTTCTCTATTAGGAAATCCCTTATTCTTTGCATACACCCATTTGCATCCAACCGCCTTCTTATGTAGGGATCACATCGCATCATTCATGGCTGATTTCCATGATTTATAATTTGAACTCCTAACTACTTCTTTATAAGTAGTAGGAATATCATCACCTACGATTGGAAGTGCATAAGCCACCATATTAGCAAAATGAGCAGGCTTGCGAATTTTTTGTCTTGACCTATTGTATGCGATCGATTCCTGTTGCTGTGGAGATTCTTGAGATAAAATCTCCTCTTCATCTATAGTATCCACATCAGTCACCTCAAAATCAATTTCTGTCTCGTGGACACTATCTGGTTCAACTATTATTTCAAACTCCACCTGCTGCAAAGTATGCTCCACCTACTGTGGAGTATTGTTAACCTTTAACTAGCTTCCTATTTTCTTCTCTATTATAGAAGACTCATCAAGTGTTACATCCTTACTAAATAGTATTTTCTTCGAACTTAGACACCAGATACGGTATCCTTTCACACTTGAGGTAAACCCCATGAATACTGCTTTCTTTGCTCTAGGATCTAACTTAGACTCTTTCACATGATAATAATCACTGGAACCAAAAACATTTAAAGAGTCATAATCAAAAACAAGTTTTCCAGACCACACCTCAATCGGCATCTTGCCTTCAATTGCAGTTGACGGTAAATGATTAATGAGATGACACGCATGTACAACTGCCTCAGCCCAAAACTCTTTGCCCAACCCAGAATTAGACAACATACATCGAACTTTCTCCAATATAGTTCGATTTATGCTTTCTGCCACCCCATTCTGCTGTGGTGTATTCCTTACTGTAAAGTGACATATTATACCTTCATCTTGGCAAACTTTCAAAAACGGATCACTATGATACTCCCCATGGTTATCTGTACATAGTTGCTTGATATTTCTGTCAGTTTAAGTCTCAATCATCTTTTTCCATTTAAGGAAAACACCAAGTACATCATCTTTAGTTTTCATCACATACACCCAAACTCTTTTGGAAAAATCATCTACAAAAGTGACAAAATAGTGCATACCTCCCAAAGATGCTGCTTTGATAGGTCCCCACACATTAGAATGAACACAATCCAAGATACCCTTAGTATTATGGATTGTGGTGCCAAATTTCACTCTTGTCTGTTTTCCCATAACACAATGCTCACAAAAATCCAGCTTATAAGTCTTTGCACCTTTCAATAAGCCTTGATTCACCAAACTAAGTAAAGCATTTTTCACGTGCACGCCTCAAATGCATATGTCACAGCCTGAGCATTTCTGAATCTGCATCCTTTTGTGTGACTGCAGTTGCCGTTTTAGTAACCATACTACCATTATAGTAAGACAAGTTGTTTCTCCTTGTACCTTTCATTACCACAAGAGCGCCTAAAAAAACCTTTAGAATTCCATCTCGCATATTCACCGTGAAGCCTTTAGATTCCAAGGCTCCCAAAGAGATGAGATTTTTCTTCAACTTTAAGACATACCAAACATCTGTTAGCATTCTAGTTGAGCCATCATGATTCTTCAACTGAATTGAACCTATCCCAATTGTTTTACAAGCATCATCTTGTTTTACAAGCATCAACATTGCCCATATAAACAACTTCATCACGTTTTTCAAAATTAAATAACCACTTCTAGTGAGGACACATATGATAGGTACAACCAGAATCCATAATCCACTCATTTGATCCAGAGGTGGATAGTAGGCTAACTAGAGAGAAATTTGACTCATCTTCTTCATGCTCAACAATCTATGCATCAGAAACAGCTTTGCCCTCTTTCTTTCGAAACTTTGGATAATCTTTCTTCCAATGCCATTTCTCACAACAAAAAGCATATTAATCCCTACTAAGTTTTCCCTTTGAACGAGATCTTCCTTTTCTCTCCTTACGACTCTAACTCTGCCCTCTTGTTACAAGTGCCTCTGCTGACTCATCTATATTCTCCTTCTGATCCTTTTTCCGAATTTCATTATTGGACAAAGCAAAACAAACTTCTTCAAAGGACAATTTTTCTTTCCTATGAAGAAGTGTAATACTAAGATGATCCAACTCATCCGGAAGAGATCCAATCAACAACATAGCTTTATGTTCATCTTTCAATGTTTCGTCCAAATTTAACAAATCAGTAATTAATCTGTTAAATGTATCAATATGGCTATTGGTATTCATACCTGGTTGCAACTAAAGACGAAACAATCTTTTCATCAAATAGAGCTGATTCTCATTACTTCTTTTCATGTATTTGTTTTCCAGTGTCTTCCATAACTTATTGGCAGACATCTCTTTCATGAATGGATATTTCTGCTCTCTACAAAGACATGAGCGTATCATCCCACAAGCTTTTACATTCAACCTCACCCAGTCTTTCTCATTGATATATTCTGGTTTTCCCTCCTCCATAATGATATCTAGATCTTGCTTATACAAGCTATCCATTACCTCACTCTGCCACAGGCCAAAATTATTTTGACCATTAAATTTTTCAACATCAATTTTTGCATTTGTAACTGTCATCATTTTTACTGGTGCGAACAATGATGCCTCGGCCGATGATGCCATTTGTATCTTACGCAGATGGCTTGGTAGACAAAGTCCCCAATAACCAAGCTCCACTAATTACTATATTCAATAGCTAATAAAAACTTAACAATAGCCCTAGATAGTAGTAAGAGCTGAAATGATTCAATACACACCAGAAAAATTCCTTGGAAACAATGGAGGGGTCACAAACAATCCCACTTAAAATCCAGTCTCCTTAGACTCTTATCATCTTGTTGACAGAATTTTCCTAGACATGCATATAACCATACAAATAGCTACTCACTATCCTAAACCTAGGCTCTGATACCACTTGTTATGCTGCGGAAACATAAACTCTAACGCTAGCTATTTAAATATAATAATAACAATTACTAAAGCAGAAATAAATGGCAAAAATAAATGCAAAAATAAAGAATACCAAGAATTAATGAGGTTTGATATTATAACCTACGTCCTCGAGCGCTGGAAAAGAAAACTCCACTATCTCCAAAGAATATTACAACTTTTTGGGAAATACTACAAATACCCAAACTATATGGGCATAAAAAAAAATTTCCAAAACAAAGAGGAGATAAACCAAAACTTTTCAACTAAAGCGTCCTTAATGAAAGAACCCTATACAAGAAAGGTGTAATGGAAATACAATTTGGGATGCAAATAAC